GGGCGGCGGCGGCGACGTCGCGCTGAGGTGAGGGGGTGGCGGGGGTAGGGGAGGACCGGGACGCACCGGGACAGGGGGACACCGCGGGACCGGGATCGCCGCCCCTCGGGCTCTGCGGGGCGCCCGGACGGCGGTCGGGCCTTGGGCCGCTCTGCCCGGCTCCCCCGCAGGCCGCAGCGCGCTCCCCCCCCTCCCGCCCGTGGGCCGCCCCCCGCGGTTGGAGCTGTGGGAGGCTTCGTGGCGTCCCTCGGGTGGGTGTCCGGGAGAGGCGGGGGGAGACGTCTCCTGCGCGGCCCTGTCGCCCCGCTGTCCCCTCTCCTCCTGGCGGTGCCCGTGGGAGCAACGGGCCCGGCGCGGTGGGGGCTCGGCCCGGCCCCCCGACCCCTCCCGGCTCTGCTGTCTGCCGGCGAGGCCGTGCTCGCCGTGCCCTCTGGCTTCCCGCTCCCAGGCAGCCGGCACGGCAGCCCTGTGGCTGGCGACTGCCCTGGCCTTCTGTTTTTATTTTGTTTTGGGGAGAGAAGGGGTTTTTTGGGGGGTGTTTTTTGCCCCGGATTGTGACACCTGCCAGCTAGACGTGAGAGCTTAGCTGACTCCCCTCACCGGGAAGTGGGAGGGATGCCCCTCCTCTGGCTGAGTGAGCAGGCCTTTGGTTCAGGCCTCCGGTTCACCACCAAGACCCTGCCAGGCTGCATCTCCTTAGGGGATGAGGAGCCCAGGCTCATTAACCAGGAGATTACACCGCCAGCCCAAGCTGGGCCTAGAAAAAAACAAAACTAAAATAGCCACGGCTGCCTCTGGCAGGAACTCAGAGGGGGGTAGTTGATACCGAGTCTGTCACTTTATGACCCCCTGGGCCTGTACAGCAGCAGTCTGCAAGGCCATCATCTCCCTTTGGGCAGGGACGTCTCTCAAGGTTTTCCATCGAAGCTGAGAGATCCTTTACCCGGTGCTGTGATAGCTGCTGTGAGATAAGCAGCATTTTACATGCTGCCTGAAAGCGTATTACATGCTTGTGACGTTTATAGATATCCAGCTATAGCTTAATTATTAGAAGTGTAGAGACTAGTAGAGTGTCAGTGAGTAGCAGAGTGGTTGACCAGTGCCTAACTTATTCTTTAAACCATTGTCAGATCGTTTTTTACCATTCAGTTATTGCTTAGTCACCATTTGATTGCCATTTCATTTTCACTTGATCGTCAATCAATTATCATTTGATCATTGTTTAATCATTAATAAAACCCCTTTAGTTAACCTCAAGACAATGACTTCTCCTAATAATTTGCCTGTGACAGGGGGCTGGCCTCGCTGGCCGTGTGCTAGGGGTGCGGCACCTTTGGGCTTCAGTGGAATAGCAGGATCTTGCATGGTCTCCAGTGCAGAAAGACTGGGGTCCTTCTGCTTTCCCCCTCCTTCCTGTAGCTCCTGTGGCTGGGTTCCAGTTGTCTGGTGGGGAAACTGGTATGGTAGGGCCACCAGTGCTGCTACAATAGCCTTGTTGGGGAAGTACTCTTGGGCTGGTTGTCACTGTAGGGCCCTGGCAGCTGTTGCTGTTACATGGGTAAATGTGTCTGTAGGGGCTGAGGGACATCTTGAAGGTGTACTGCTGTCTCTCCCGTTGCCTATGCTCACTTTGGGTATCCTGCTCAGATGTCGTGCCCGGAGGAACTGGCTGCCCTGGCAGATGAGGACTTGCTTGACTTCCTTCTGAAGGATGATGCTCCTTGCCCTGAAATCCCAGGGGAGGATAACGCTCTCCTGGAAGACTGGGGCCTGCCAGAGCCTGAGGTGAGCTCACTGTGAGGAGTCACTGCTGGGTTGTGGTTCAAGAGGTTTGGCTCCCTGCTGAATAAAACGTTTTTTCTGCAGCTCCTGGACAAGGAGGTGGATGACTTCATCACCTCCTTGCTGAGCCCTTTTGAAGAAGAAACAGGTGCCCTGCAGGGTTGTTTGCCTGCTGACAGTGACAGCGGCATTTCTGAGGATCAGCATCTGTCCCATAGCCCCAGCAGCGACTCTGCCAGCAGCCCTCCGAACTCAGATATTGTCCAGGTTGATCACAACTATTTCCTCCATCGGGACTGGCCTGTACTGGAAAGCGTGAAGTCTGACACTGCAGAAGGAGATTTTTCCATTGACCTTGGTAAATAACGTGTGTGGGCTCTTTCCATCCTGGGTACAAGCAGAGAAAAGCAGTCCTGTTTTGGGTGGTTGCCAGGCAGCAACGGAGAGAGCAGAGTTTAGTGGCTTTCCGCTGCTGTAAAATTGTGGTTTCATGCTGCTCAAAGCTGGCTGATCAGGTGCTGCCTGACTGAAGCCCAGTGTTTGACTCTCCTTTCCTTCCCCAGAGACATGGACGGGTTTGGAAGGCACCAGCAAGGCACTGGAAGAGAGCTCCAGTTTCCCAGTTGCTGTTGCTGTGGATGCTGGACCCCAGCTTGTGCCTGGAGCCATCGTGCAGGTACTGGCTGCCATGTGTGTGTGCCTCAGCCTTTGCTTCTGGTCACATCTCCCCTTCTCTCCTGGCTTGGCTCTTGTGGGTGATATTTCTGAGGAAAGCGTGATGCAGCTTTAGGGGGGCTGATCCCAGTTCTGTGTGCTTTCTTCACACCTTCTCTGCACTGGGGTGGAAATCCCCTGCTGTGTGTTCTCATTGTGTGTACTTTTGCTGTTTTATAGTCTGACTTCCCGGAGCTGGTCCTGACGGAGGAGGAGAAGCAGCTCCTGGAGAAAGAAGGTGTTTCATTACCAACCTGTGGGCCACTGACCAAAGTGAGTCCTCGCTACAGCTTGTCACTCCCAAACAGACTTCCACCGCTTGAATGCTTCGGCCAGAGTAGGGGCTTGAAAATGCAGGGTGGTGCCTTGATGAGAGCTGCTGTGGTCAGGGCAGTGTGTGGCAGGGCTTGCTGTCCTTTCCTTCTTTGCGAAGCCTGGGTGGTGTCCACGCAGACGCACAGCAGCCTCTGTGTTGCTGATCAGGTAGACAGGAAGAGCAGAGAGACCTGGCTGCTGTCAGCTCAGTCTGCTCGCTCGTGACTGCTTGCAGGAGGCAGTTACTCCACAAGTGCTTCCCACCCACTTTTTCCCACTCGCCTAGTGGCTTGTGAGCTGTGGCCTTTTCACCTCCCTTAGTTATGCCTCACTTCTGCTACACCAGGGAATCTGCTGGCTGCATCAGCAGGCCAGAGTGTGCCTTGCAGCTCCTGCTGTTCGCTCAGTGGTGTGGGAGGGACAGAGGACAATAGCGCGTGGGCCGAGCGCTGGGATGTGTGCAGGGTTTGTGCGGGCTGGATTGCCCGTGCCCTGGCCTTGGCTGCTAACGAGAAAGGGCTCTTTGCAGGCTGAAGAGCGGCTTCTCAAGAAAGTGCGTCGGAAGATCCGGAACAAGCAGTCGGCCCAGGATAGTCGTCGCAGGAAGAAGATCTACATGGATGGCCTGGAAAACAGGTACAGGCACACAGTAGTGTCAGCCAACACTGAGGGGACAGACAGTCCCCCTTTTAGGGACCCTTGGCAGAATGATGATGGCACTAAATCATGGTTTCACTTACAGCTTTGCTTTCTTAAGATGTTCTGGTTAAAATAGCGGAGAATTTATGATTGGAATGGCACGGGGTTTCTAGAAGCAGAATCTATGCAGTACAATCTATAAGCAGCATAATACAGAATTTATAATATAACTTAAAATTTCTAATCACCTAGATCCTAATACAACTAATGTATGATTTCTCATCACCTGGGCTCTGCCGAGTGGGTCAGATCTTAACACATGTTTTGCTGTGTCGATACATTGTATATAATCTAGACTTGAAAATGATACAAAAGAATGTAAGTCCCTCCTTCAATTCTGGGAGGAAGCAGATGATGGTGGAGGTGTCCCTGGCCAGGGGGGTCCTGGGTCTCAGTCTCCAGCAGCAGCTCAGGTGCAAGTTCCCCCTTAGGGCTTGTAACTGCTCGATTCTATGGATGGTGCTCTGTGTGCTGTTAGGTTCCCTGCTCTGTGACAGGGTCATCATCAGCACTGGGCTGGCCAAGTGCCTGGGACCTTCAAGGCCAGCAAGGAAAGAAGTAACCAGCCTGGTGCCCAGGAACCTTGAGGCTGGTAGGGAGGGGGACAAGAAATTTGTTTGATTTATCTACTTGGTGCACAGGACCTTCAGGGTCTGATTATGAAGGAAAGGAATACATGATGCACTGGGGTGATGCTCGCCTCAGAAAATGGCATTAGTTGTGCTAACCATGTTCCCAGGGGCTGGGAGCAGGGGTTATTACTGTGCTGCACCGCTGCTGGGGTCTTGCCACCCTGGACAGAAAGGGAGGCTGACCCTGTAGGGCAGCAGCTCTTCTCAGGGGACTCAAGCTCGGGGCATAGCCTGGAGATAGCCCAGAGCTTGCTCTGTTCAAGCCAGGTGCTGGCCTGCCAGGTCCAGCGTGTTCTCCAGGTCAGGCTACTCTGCAGTACAGCCTGATGTTGTGGATCTACAGGGCTGGTGTGCCGCTGGGAGTGAGCATCCTAATGGATTAGTCTGGTGATTCTATGTGGGACTAGGCAGGGCTCTCCCCTCCCTGAACCTGGTGTGAGATGTTGAGCTTTGCTTCAAGTGGTGCCAGATAGACTCCAGGCGCAATTTTTTCTGCCCCAGCCACCCAGGGATGGTGGCTGATTACCCGAGGGGAGACTTCACCATCTGGTAAAGTCCCTGCTGTTGACTAACAAAACTTCTCTGTTCTTCCCCCATGCTGTTCATCTTTCCTGGAAAGGGTGGCAGCCTGCACCGCTCAGAACCACGAGCTGCAGAAGAAGGTGCAGCTGCTGCAAAAGCAGAACATGTGAGTCCTCATTGTTAGATGTGGCAGCAGATGTGGTGGGGAAGGCTTTTCCTCTTCTTGGGATTGTGGTCTGTGACTGGCTGCGAAGGGGGAGGAGGGGAGTGTGCAGTTGCTGCATTAACCTGTGTCGCTGGCTCTCATGCAGGTCACTGCTCGAGCAGTTGCAGAAACTGCAGGCCTTGGTGAGAAGGTCCACCATGAAAACTACCACAGCAAAAACTTGCACCATGGTGAGTGGCTTCAGCCCCAGTGTCTGTGAAGTGGTCTCTGCTGTACTTACAAGTTTGTGAGAGAGGTGCTTATTGCGGTGGGTGGTTCTATCTACGTCCTTCACTGATCTTCTTTCTGTTCCCAGGTCGTGTTCCTGTCCTTCTGCCTCATCCTCTCCCCCAGCTTCTGCTCGTTTGGGAGAAGAGAGCCACAGCCAGAGCTCAGAGGTGAGTGCCCCTGGGGCTGAGATGTGCCTACAGGTGAAGCCCCTCTGGGGCAGAGCACCTTCCTCAGAGACAGCCTGAAGCCTGGGACACCTCCAGCCCAGCAGCCCCTTGCCTGGGGTGATCTCTTTCAGAGGCCCACCTTGGGGCAGGGCCCTGGGCCAAGGACTTTACCAGAATTTCACTGAATTTCACTGAATTTTAGAGTTGGAAGGGACCATAGAGATCATCTAGTCCAACTCCCCTGCTGAAGCAGGATTGCCTAGAGCTAGAGCATGTTACTCAGGGCTGCATCCAGGCGGGTCTTGAAAATCTCCAAAGAAGGGGACTCCACAACCTCCCTGGGCAGCCTGTTCCAGGGTTCTGTCACCCTCACTGTGAAGGAGTTTCTACTCATATTTGAGTGGAACCTCTTATGTTCCAACTTGTGCCCGTTGCCCCTTGTCCTCTCACTGGCAACCACTGAAAAGAGTCTGGCTCCCTCCTCCTTCAGCCCTCCCTTGAGATACTTGTAGGCATTGATAAGGTCTCCCCTCAGCCTTCTCTTCTGGAGGAACTTGTTCTGGAGGAACTGGAGGAATTCACTCCCCCTTGGAGCACAAGCTGAGCTTGTGCCTGGCAACCACGTAGGGTCCCCTCTCCACCTCCCCTGGGAAGAGGCAGCCCGAGTTGAGCAGTTTGTTCCCTTCTCCTGGGCTCCGTGGACTCAGAACAGGATGGTGGGAGGGTGGGAGCCCATGACATGGGTGGCTCTACCTCTCTTGCAGTGCTGTCACGGCAGATCCGCGAGATCTCAAACCAGGTGGCACCTGACGTGCAGAAGGAGGGGTTCAGCCCAGAGCCTGAGGACCACTTGTTGTTGGGCAGCCTCAATCAGTCATGGGAAGAGGAGCAGAGTCCGCCCAACCGTGATCCCAGATCTTACTTCAACAGCAACTCATCTTCTGACCCTCCAGTGGCCACAGGGTCCGAGCTGGGCCCTCCCCGGCCTCCGGAGCGGCGCGCCCAGAGCGACCCCCTGCAGGTAGAGGTGCCGGTGGGGTGGAAAGCCAAGAGGCAGGAGTGGGTGGAACGCACAGCCAGCGTTGTCATCCAGCAGCACCGTGCTGATGAGATGTGACCACCGCCACCTCCTGCTCCTGGGGGTGACACCGGCCACCCTGCCAGGCAGGGGACAAGCGGAACTGCTTATAACGGATAATCTATCAAAGCACATTTCTTCTGAATACTCTCCCTATCGCTGACAGCTCAGAGGGGTTACCAGGGAGGAATCATTTTAGGGTTGACCTGTTCTGACACTCTGCTCTGTGTCTCTATAGCAGGGCTCTATCTGAGACGGGGTGGGAAACTCTGGGATCTTTGCTACGGCTGCTGGCACGGCTTGAAGCCCGGGGTGTGTCCCGTGGCTCGTGGGGATGGCCTGTGGCACGGGAGGTGAAGGCAGTCAGGCCTGAGGGGTCTGTGCTTGGTCTGACTGGATGCAGTTGGTGATGGAGGCCACTGCCTTCCTACCTCCCTGCCCAGGTGGAGGTGAACAGGCTGGGTCCTGCACTTCTTTACCGTGTCTGGTAGCCGTCAGCACGTCTCCCTTGTCCCTTCCCCTTAATCCTGCAGTCTTGCCTGATTTCTAGGTGTGAGATAGCAAGCTGACCTTCAGTGCCCTCACGGGGAGCGGTCCTGCCGTTGTGACAGACCCTCCCTTTTGCCTGTTCCTGCTAGCTTTTGAGCCACAGGCACAGCTCCTGGCCTGGCTAGAGAAGGTAGTTTGAAGTCCTTCCCGAGCCGCGTGTGCTGTTTCCCTTCCATAGGGGCTGAGCCTTTCATCTCCCACAGTCCTGAAAGTGGGGCGTCTGGGCCGCGGGGAGGGGGGGAAGGCATGCCTCGAACCGGGCTGCTGAGGGGGTGTGGAGCAGAGAGCAGCAGAGCCTGCTTGCCCTTCTGAAGGCTCTGCTGGCCACGGGACAGTTTCACAGCTGCGTCCCCGTGTGCCCGAGCTCTGCCGCGCTGGCCGGTGATGCAGTCAGCTGGCTCTGGTTGCTCCCCAGGGCTGAGCAGAAACGCTTTGAGCTGGTGAGCGGCATCCTTCCTGGAGTGCAGCTTAGTCATACCTGTTGAGCACCTCTCCTCATCCTACTTCAGGACATTTCATAGAATCATATAGAATGCTTTGGGGTGGGGGGAACCCTTAAAGCTCATCTACTCCAGCCCTTTGCAATGAGCGGTGACATCTTCAAACTAGATCAGGATAATAATTAGTGATTTCCATATCAATAATGTGTAAATGAATACTGGTCATGTGCCACTGTGTCCTTTGTGGTGGTTTCAGCGAGGGGTTGGGCTGCTGGATGGAGGCACCAGGCAGGGGGTGGGAGTGTGGTGGGAGGAACCCAAGGGAGGGCTTGGGGGTGATCACTTTTGCTACGTAACGAAGGGGAACGTGCGCTGCCTTCCCATCCTGTGGCTGTGGCTGCATGGAGGGGCTGGTTGAGACACGGGGTGTGAGTTTCCACCTCTTCGAGGGTGCAAAAACACTCTCCAACCACTTTTGGAGGCAAGTGGGTGTTGTGACCCCCCAGGTGTGACCCGCTTGCACCCCAACCCCCGGTGCCGCGGAAGCCAGCAGCTTCCCTGGTAGGAAGCGCCGGGAGGCCGGTGTCTGCCCCCACTGCTGCTTTTCTAACGGGGAGCTGCACAATCGCAGGAAGCAGAGCAGAGCCAGGGTGGTGCAACAGCCCCCTTCCCCTCTGCCGGGGGGCCGCGGGGAGGGCCCCGCCTGCTGGGTGGTTGCTAAATCAGGGGTGGGATTGCTGGGTCCACGGGAAGCACTTGCAGACCCTGAGGCTCAAGCTGTGGAGCCCGGCGTGGGGTTTGGGGGCACAGAAACCCCATCAAAGTGGTGGGTGCAGGCACCACCCTGCTTGCAGCTGACCTGGTAAGGGGAGGGTGGCTGTGCAGGGGAAGGAGATACGGAATTGATGGTTGTGTCTCTGCCTGGGGAGAAGGGACAGGCCCGGGGTGGCTCACCTGTGGGCCAGCAGCTCACTCATAACAGGGTAGGCTACAGCCCTGCCGTGGCCAGGGCAGGCAGCCACCGAGCATCCCCAGGGAACCACTGGACTTTTTTCCTCGGGACAGGAAGATCTCGGACCCTGTCCTCGCTTTTGTTTCTTTTTTTTTTTTGCAGTTCAAGGCCAGGGAGTGTAATGATACCGCTGTCACCTGGAGTCCTTGGCCCAGGGCTAATCAATATGGTGTGAGTCGCCTGAAATAAAACACGGCGGTGTTGCCAGGGAAGCAGGAAGTGGCCACCAGAGCTGGTGTTTGGGCTGGGGCAGTGGGGTCACCTTGGTGCTCTGCCAGCGGTCTGGCTTGCTTGGCCGAGTGTCAGGAGAGGAGGTGGCTCCAGGAGAGCGGGCAGGGAGCCAGGCCGGCCCAGTGGGCTCCTCATCAAAGGTGGCTGCACACCGGACCCTGCGCCAGCCCTGCTCTGGGGAAAAGTTTGTGGCAGAGGCTGGGACGTCGCAGAGCTGGTCCCCGTGCTGCACTGGGGATGTCTCTTCCCCTGGCAGTTTTGGGGACAGCTGCTCTATGGTCTCGGGCAGGGAGAGGCTGTCTTTTGTGTTCTCTTGCTGGTCCCACAGTGGTCAGGGCTGAGCCAGTCGGAGGAAGGAAGCCCAGCCTCAGCCTCACGCCTTGGGTTAAAGGGCAGTGATGATAAAAATGCCTGGAATGAGTCCTTTGGCCAAGGAGCCTTGCACCTTGTTTCCATCAGGCAGAGGAACATGAAGAACCTGGTATTTCTTCCACCCTCCTCCTCCTCCTTGCTGCAGACCCTCTGTGACATCTCTCCCATCTATGGCAAAATATTCTGCTAAGCCCTTGGCAAGCCCTGTGTGGGTGTTGCTGAGTGGAAACCCTCTCTCTTTAGCTTGGTGACTCCCCAAGTGTCGGTGGTGCTGTCTGCTTTCCATGGTAGCAATATGTTGAAAATTACAAAAGCATGAAATGAAATTCCCCTCCTATTGCCAGGGAGGACCTGGGCTGTGTGGCCGATACAAAACACCCCCTGCTCATGAATTTAAAGGAATCGTTCTGCCTTTTTTTTTTTTTTTTTTTTCTGCAGGAGTTGGGATTTCTCAGAGAGGTGGGAATTTCAGTCAGTAGCAGAAGTAAGACAAACCCTCCTTTTCAAAGGAAACCTAAACCCGGTGTCAGCATCCATCCTATTTTTATCCACCAGCACCAGCTGCTGGATATTGGTGGAAACAGAAAAACTAGCAGAAATCCGAGCACCCGTTTAAAAAGTCAACTGGAAATACGGCAGTGGAACAACCACCGCCTTCCCCCAGCTCCCAAAACAGGGCACCTCAGCACCCCGGGATTGCTGAACCTTGGGGGTTCAGTGTGTTGGGGGGTCAGCGTGGAGCTGGTCGTGCTGGGACCGTTTTGTCAAGGTGTCTGAGGCAGAAAGCAGAGAGGTCAGGCTGAGATGCCTGGAAAAAGCCCAGTGGGTGCCAGATGCGTGGCCAGATTTCTCTGGCCACATTCGGTGTAGCCAGGGCTTGGCTGGGGACCCCTGGCTGTGCGCTGTTGGGGGGACACAGCCGCCTTGAGGGGTTGTCTCCTGGGATGGGCTGTTTGGGATCTTTCCCCGTTCCTGGGGTGGGAGGGGAGCTGGCAGCCGGCCGCCGCGCCACATCCGCCGGGGCTGGGAACGGGAGGCTGCCGGCTCTGCAAAAGCCATTTGCAGTCTCCCCCACCCGCCCCGTCCATTCGGGTGCCTGAGAAACTTCCTCTGCTCCGCTCGCACGGGGAGGGCGAGCTGCCTGCAGCCTGCCCTGCAGCCCTGGGACATGCTGCCCGTGGCATCCCACCGAGGATGTCCCTCATCCCGCCACCCGGACGCAGCCCAGGTCAGCCTGCACCCCCCTGGGGATGTTTGTGAGGGACCCCCCCAAGGGGTAGGTTACCCAGAGCAGGGCAGTAGGTTTGCAGGTTCCTGCACGCTGCCAGGGAGGGGACATGGGACAGCCCTCCATCCTTGGGGACCCTGCTGCCCTTGACGACGCTGCATGAAGCCTCCCCGCGGGAAGGTGGCTGTGGGGCAAGCCAAACCCCACGGGTCTGAGGCAGGGCAGAAAACAGCGCCAAGCTCTGCATCCCTGCAGAAACCCTTTATTTTGTAGCTGGTGCCCAGCCTTCATGCTGGGCTGAACTTGCCTGGGAAAGCATGAACCTGTGGGGTGAGAGCTGCTGAAATGCAGCACGTCAGCGCGGGCAGAGCCTGGCTGGGGGAACTGCCGTCTCCTTGCCGTCCTGGGCCTCCCGGATTTTCCCACTCGTCGTTATTTTATCCGGGTGAAAATGCTGGTGCCAATCCTGCAGGAAAGTCCAGGTCACTGTGGTTCACCCAGGTGGGGTCACCTACACTGTGGTGGTAGGTGCAGAGGGGAGATGTGATGCCAGGGACCGTGTCCCCTGCTGTCTTGCTGGATGCTGGTACCCAACAGCTCCAGCACCGTGTGGCAGAGGCTGCACCAGGTGCTGGCATCATGTCATAGAATCATGGAACCATAGAATGGTTCGGCTTGGGAGGGACTTTAAAGATCATCTAGTCCAGCCCTCCTGCAGTGAGGGAGGGCTACATTCCCTACAATTCCCACTAGCTCCATTGGGCCTGGTCTTGAATGCTTGCAGGGGTGGAGCATCCACAGCTTCCCTGGACAGCCTGTTCCAGTGTCTCACCACCCTCACAGTAAAGAGTTTCTTCCTAAAATCTAATCTAAATCTCCCCTCTTTCAGTTTAAAACTTTTTCCCCCTTGTCCTGTCTCTCCACTTCCCGATAAAGAGTCTCTCCCTATCTTTCCTGTAGGCCCCTTGACATCTGCAGGTCTCCCTGGAGCCTTCTCTATGTCTGCTGGGCAAAGTAGTAGGAGAGTCTTGAGGGGGTCTGTCCTGGGGTAAATTTCCTTGGGGCACACCCGGGATGCAGGAGGTGACTGGGTCAAGGGATGTTCCTTAGACCCTACTCGTTACTGGTGACAAACTCATTTCACCCTCCCAGTCCCAGCATGCCTTATCCTGTGGGATTTCTCCCTTCTCCAGCCCCGGGGTACAGGAAAGCTTGGCACAGCAGTGGCTGAGATCCAGCACTCACCGGGTGGCTTTCCAGTCCTCCTCGGGGCTCTCGGCAGCTTCTCGCAGAAGCCACAGGGCATGCAGGGTCTCCTCCCCATTGGTGTCCACGTAGCACTGGCCCAGGAAGACGGTTGTCCGGGCTGTCTCTGAGTCTGGAAGGGTCCAAAGTGGTGTGAATCAGGGTGGTGAAGCACAAACCCAGCCTCTGCGTCCTGCTGGCATCTCTGCTGCAAGGTGATGACCCTCTTCTCCCTACCTCGGAGCTGCCAGTGCACGGTGAAGGAGAAGGTTGGCTGTGGGACCAGCCTGGCGTCCTGCTGGGACCCTTCCAGTGGTGAGGTGAGGATTTCAGAGTCCCTGGTGGCAGGCCCCGGCAGGTAGGAACCAGAGAAGCTGCCATCCTTGCCAAGGACGGACACCACCATCCGGCAGCCGGTGTCGCTCCGCCAGGACCCGGAGAGGAGGCACTGCAAGGCCAGAGCTGTGACCAGGGGGGCATCCTGCTCCCACCCCACCACCCTGGCCCTGCCCAAGGATGGCTGCAGCCCTGGGGGACACACCACACACCCTGTGTGAAGCTGGTGCCACCGCCATCGCCACCTTGGCATGAGTGCCACCATGGCACTGATGGCCTTCAGTCCCACCACTGCTCTGGGCAGTTTGCTGCTGCCACCCCGGGGACAGTGGGTCCTCCCCATGCTGAAGGAGAGGGTCCACTGCTTTCCCTCCACGCTTGGTGGGAAACAGGGTTTCTCTGGGGCAGAGCTGTGTGTGATGGTCTCTCAAGGGATTCCCACAGCCAGGAACATCCTTGCAGGAGCGGTTCCTCCCTCCCAGCCTCTCCACAGCTTCCCTCAGCACTGCGTGGTGCTTGGTCCCACCAGCCCAGCCCCGGCTCCTTGCTGAGCACCATACCCCCAGCAGCAGCTTTTGGGGGGTCTAGCAGGGTGCCAGCAACACACCCCCTTCACCACCCGTCCCTGTACCTTCCTCTCCGCAGGGGAGACACATGCCACCAGGGCCAGGGCAAGCACCAGGGCAGAAGTTCTGCTCCCCATGGCTGTGGGGCTACCAAGTGCCCGGCACAGCTTCCTCCTGGCCCTGTGTCCCGGCCCCCTTTATAGGGCTGTAACCAGAGCCCCACAGGCACTGGGCTGGCAGTCGTGGGGTGGGTGGCAGGGTGGCCGGGTGCCAGGGACAGGACAGGCGAGGTGAGGAGGTCTGTGTGACCTGGGCAGCGCTGGAGGAACGTGGGGATGAGCACGGCTGAGCGGAGAGGAGGGGGTGTGGGCTTTTTTTTAAGGCACTGATAGCAGCAGGGAAACATCAACTGCCTGCCTGGGACGCAGGCTGGAAATTATTATCTTCTTAAACATTTAACTGATTCCTGCTTTGCCAGTCCCACTTGCCTGGCTAGGGTGTCACCCAGGGGGTACCAGGGCATCCTGGGCAGGGGCAAGCTTCAGTGGCTGCTCAGGAGGGAAGGCTCACCCTGTCTTCTGCTTCAGCAGCAACAGCATCTCCCCAGCACCTTCTGTATAACCACTGCTGATTGTGCTGCTTTTGCTTTTACAGGAGTCAGAGGAAGGAGTAACCCCCAAGGGGCACTGGGGTTCGAGGGACTGTGTTTGCCAAACACACCCAGCGATCTGACCAGCCTTGTATTTGCACCTCTTCCTTAGTTTTGCTGCTCTGAGGGCCTTTGGATGTACAAACCAGAGGCTGCGTTCCTGAGCTGCTTCTCTGCTTACTGCAGCACCTGGGGAGGGCATGGGGCTGTGGGCAACTGAAAATTAGGGTGAGATTAAATTGTGTCACAACGTACTGCCCTCAGGACAGCAGTGTCCTGTGGCAGCAGGGCTGCGGTGGGCGTATTATGTGGAGATGGTCACTGGGTGGCTGGGGGTGACCCAGAGGTACCCTGCCCATTGCCTGGACTAGAAGCTTGCAAAGCTCTCCTGCTTGTCCCAGCCTAAGATGGCATTTAAGAGGGGGCACCCCCCCCCACTGGCTGCTCACACTGCATCCCACTGCCATGTCTGTCGTGTCCCCATCACCACCCATCCCCGTACCTTCCTCTCCGCAGGGGCCATGCGTGCCACCAAGGCCAGGGTAAGGACCAGGGCGAAAGTGCTGCTCCCCATGGCCGTGGGGCTGAAGCACCCAGCACAGCTTCCTCCTGGCCCTGTGTCCCGGCCCCCTTTATAGGGCTGTAACCAGAGCCCCACAGGCACTGGGCTGGCAGCTGTGAGGTGGGTAGCAGGGTGGCCGGGTGCCAGGGACAGGAGGACAGGCGAGGTGAGGAGGTCTGTGTGACCTGGGCAGCGCTGGAGGAACGTGGGGATGAGCACGGCTGAGCGGAGAGGAGGGGGTGTGGGCTTTTTTTTAAGGCACTGATAGCAGCAGGGAAACATCAACTGCCTGCCTGGGACGCAGGCTGGAAATTATTATCTTCTTAAACATTTAACTGATTCCTGCTTTGCCAGTCCCACTTGCCTGGCTAGGGTGTCACCCAGGGGGTACCAGGGCATCCTGGGCAGGGGCAAGCTTCAGTGGCTGCTCAGGAGGGAAGGCTCACCCTGTCTTCTGCTTCAGCAGCAACAGCATCTCCCCAGCACCTTCTGTATAACCACTGCTGATTGTGCTGCTTTTGCTTTTACAGGAGTCAGAGGAAGGAGTAACCCCCAAGGGGCACTGGGGTTCGAGGGACTGTGTTTGCCAAACACACCCAGCGATCTGACCAGCCTTGTATTTGCACCTCTTCCTTAGTTTTGCTGCTCTGAGGGCCTTTGGATGTACAAACCAGAGGCTGCGTTCCTGAGCTGCTTCTCTGCTTACTGCAGCACCTGGGGAGGGCATGGGGCTGTGGGCAACTGAAAATTAGGGTGAGATTAAATTGTGTCACAACGTACTGCCCTCAGGACAGCAGTGTCCTGTGGCAGCAGGGCTGCGGTGGGCGTATTAGGGGTGGTGGGGTCCCACCCTGGGGTGCAATCGCTCAGTGCCCACCATGAGCCCCAGCTCACTCCAGGACCCCAATGCTGGTGCTGCTCAGTGCCTCTCCCTCTGGTCCAGATGGCTCCAAAGGCTGGGGTGAGCGGAAACCTCTCCTCTCCTGACACATCACTTTTCCTTGTTGCCTTTCACAGTCCCAAACTCATGGGCTTATCATAGGAGCCTGAGAAATTCCCCCCTTGGGGGATCTCTTACTCTTGTCCTGGGTGCCACGCTCCATCCTTCTGGCCTGACACCAGCCCCTGCCTTTCTGCCCTGTTTGGCAGGGACAAGCTGCCCTGTTTCAGCTGCCAGGGAGGTGGCAGCCACCACTCCGTGTCACGGCAGCGTGCACTGGCCTCACTGGGGCTGGGCCAGGCTCGGTGGACTGTACAGCTGGTGTGCTGGCATCCCTGGGGCTGCATCATATTTGTAACCCTTCTTCTGCAAGAGGCTTCATTTCCCTCCGTGGACCTGCCAGAAATGCTGTGTCGAAAGAGCTGACCAAGCTTGGCAGGTGTCCACAGAGGCAGATAGAGTGGCACTGCTGAAATGCAGCGGCAGAGAAGGGTAAAATCCCTGGTGGCAGCTCAGGAGGACATGATGGGATGGGATGGGGGCTTTAACTGTGCAGATTTTAGTTCAGGTGATGTGCAGCACAAAGGAAGTGCTTTACTGACATCTCGCACCTACCAATGCCGTTACCTCCATCACCCAGCCCTACAGGGAGTCCTAGGGCTGGCAGGGCATCTAGCTGAGATGGGTATGAAGGCACCACAAGGATGGTGGCTGGATTCAGGATGCCGACTCCGTGTCTGCCACCAGCAGGCAGCTGGGGAGTGATGATGCGGGGTGGAAGTTTGTGTTAGGATGAGGTGGGCAATAAGCCTGGGTAGTTGGATGGGAGTAACTTGAGGGGGATCCAGATGTCCCTGGTGAAGGACAGTGGTGAGTTCTCACTGCTGCAGGGGTACCCATGGGGACAGAAGCTGCCTCAGCAGGGGAGCGAAGGCAGTTTTTAAAAAAAGACAACCACAGCTGACATGACTTTAATTTATTTATTTTTTTTCTTATGTGAGCGGCTGGTTTTGTTTGCATTTGTTATTCAGGCTGCAGCTGAAACGTGCCATCATGGGGCAGATGAAGCTGTGTCCTCACAGGATGAAGACAAGCTTGGCAGGATCTTTCCTTTTGGGGTGCGTTTGCGCGTGAAGACGTTTCTGCCCACCCTGTGGGAAGCAGAGAGTTCCTGTGGGATGACCTGCAGACACAACCCACTTGGGGCTCTGCCTTTATGTCCCCAACTTGCCCCAAGCAGCTGCTGGATGCCCCTGGCCAGGGCAAGCCCCTACAAGGAGGCATTGACACCCCAGTTGCAAACCCTGTGGGGTTCCCAGGGTTGGTCCCCTCACCCAGGGGGATGCTTGTCCTTAGGGGTCCTGGGGAGAGTCACTGTCTCCCATGTCCCCCCACTACCTTGTGGCTTTCCAGTCTTCCTCCAGGGACCCGACAGCTTCGCGCAGCAGCCACATGGTGGTCAGCGTCTCCTTCCCGCCTGTGTCCAAGAAGCACTGCCCCGCAAAGGCCGTGGTGGCATCTGTGGGAAGGGCTTGCTGGGAGGATCAATGGGGATGCACCCACACACGCTGCCTGCTTCCCCTTCTCCGAGGTCCTCCTGGCCACAGCCGTATTTCCACTCCAACATCCACACACCCACTCAACCCACTCTGGGGGGTCCTGCCCTTCCTCAGCAGCTCCCTCGGGTGAGCCAGGCTCTGCACCACTGCATCCTCCGAGGATTAATGGGGTCCAGACCCACCATGGGCACCTCAGACTGCCTGGGAGGGATGGGTGCAAAGACTCTGGGCAAGGAGAGGCTGCCTCGTGAGAGCCCAGCACTGCCCTTTAGCCCCACGGCGGGGCCGACACTGCTGCCTCCTCCTGCTTAGCTGCACCAAAGCATCACCCAGCAGAACTTCCAGCAAGGAGCCAAAATCCTGCTGGCTACCCACGTGGCTCCCAGTGCCCACCCTGGGTGTCCCAGCACTTACTGGAGAACTTGTCCCAGCGCACGGTGAAGGCGAAGGTGGGCCAGCCCCCCTCACTGGGCTGCTGCTGGGCGCCTGTCAGGAGGGAGGCACGGGCGCAGCCACCGGCGAGGGTGACCTGTGTGAGGTACTTCCCCTGGAACTCCCCGTTGTCTCTCACTGCTGAAATCTCCATCAGCGAGTCCTGCTCGTTCCTCCACAGCCCACGGAGCTGGCACTGAAGAGACACCACAGTGGCCCCTCTGCCCCTGCGCGTGGCACAGAGGGGACCCCATCCCTCCCACTGGAGCTGTGAGCCCTGCTATGAGTGTCATTGTGGAGCACAGCTCTCCTTGTCCCCACTTTGAAGAAATGGTCCCCCAGGTGCTGCCAGCTGCTGAGTGGATGGTGCAGCCCTGGCCAGCGCGTCCCAGCCCAGAGGTGTGCACGGTGCCCCGGGGCACAGACCGCAGGGGAAGGGATGCCCTGTATGTGGTCCCCCTGGGCACACATCCCGTGGGAGGGGATGCCCTGTGCATGGTACCCCGGGACACAGACCCTGTAGGGTGGGATGCCCCATGAACAGTGTCCTGAGCACGGATCCCATGGGAGGGGATGCCCTGTGCGCAGCCCTCATGGGAAGGGATGCCCCACGAGTGGTAACCCTGGGCACAGACCCTGCAGGATGCTTCACGTGTGGGTGCCCCTGTGGGAACAAAGCTTTGTGGAGATGGTCACTGGGTGGCTGGGGGTGACCCAGAGGTACCCTGCCCATTGCCTGGACTAGAAGCTTGCAAAGCTCTCCTGCTTGTCCCAGCCTAAGATGGCATTTAAGAGGGGGCACCCCCCCCCACTGGCTGCTCACACTGCATCCCACTGCCATGTCTGTCGTGTCCCCATCACCACCCATCCCCGTACCTTCCTCTCCGCAGGGGCCACGCGTGCCACCAAGGCCAGGGTAAGGACCAGGGCGAAAGTGCTGCTCCCCATGGCCGTGGGGCTGAAGCACCCAGCACAGCTTCCTCCTGGCCCTGTGTCCCAGCCCCCTTTATAGGGCTGTAACCAGAGCCCCACAGGCACTGGGCTGGCAGCTGTGAGGTGGGTGGCAGGGTGGCCGGGTGCCAGGGACAGGAGGACAGGCGAGGTGAGGAGGTCTGTGTGACCTGGGCAACACTGGAGGAACATAGGGATGAGCACGGCTGAGCAGAGAGGAGGGGGTTCTGGGATGGTTTGCACATCCACGATCCAAGAGGCTCTGCCAGCCCATTCCTTGCTGCACAACAGAGTCCCTGGGGTGGGCATAGGCTGGCACTGCCCCACTGCCACCGTCCCAGCACTGCCATCCAAACACAGTGCTGCAGCAAGCACAGCCAGACCAGCTCCTCTCTGCTGCACTGAAGGATATCTCTCCTGCTGGGTGAATGTGTGTGTCACTGCTGGTGCTGCAGGGGAAGACAGAGCTAGCACCTGGCTGTGTCCAGTTGAGGAAGGTTCTCTGTGGCCCCCGTCCTGCACAGGGGATGAGCATCTGCTTCCAGCATCCTCCAGAGACACATCTGCCCCAGGTTTGAAGACACCAGGAGGGCCGCTCTCCTCTTCCCAGGGAGCAGGATGTGGTGATGCCCGTGTGCAAATTGCACTTTGGTTTTAATTATAAAATTATAGTAGATGCCTTCAGCTCTCATCCCAGGAGCTTGCTCCAAAAGGCCTTCAGAGTCCCATCACCACTCTTCCTCACTTGCTGCCCAGATGGCTCCCAGCATCAGTACCCATGCCCAGGGCTCAACTCCCCTGTGGTCTCCATGCTGCTCCCACGGGTGCAGCCCCAGCACAGAGCAGGGGTGGAGAAGTGAGATGTTCAGTGTTCAGACATCTGTAAAGAGTCAATAGGAACAATCCCTGCAGAAATCATCATCTAGGACAGTCTTCTGCACGTGGTTAAGACAGGTAAGTGGTGTTTTCCCTGTAGCTGAGATAAACAGTAGTGAAGGATCATGCATACTCTGGAACACAGCCAACAGCTGGAGAAGACCTGAGCAGGGAGAGGTTTGGGGAGTCTCACCTGACCCTACTGGAGGTGCTGCTGCAAAGACCCCTGCAATGGGGACTCCCTCTCTGTTCAGAGAGTGACTGACTGATTCCCCATGTGAGTATTACCTGATGTCAAGATCCCAATAAGTTAGTTTTTCTTTTTTCAACCAATACACAACCCCCTGTGCAACCGATACACTATCTCCTGGGCAACACAGACACGGCAGCAGAGACATGCTGCCTGTGGTTGCAAGGTGCCTCCTGCCTCCTCCAGCTCCCCATGCCTCTGAAAGTGTTAATGGTGCATGAATGACCATGACCAAGGCTTACCATGCAGCAGCAACAGATGGTTTACCTCCTGGAGGGAGGTCTGTGGCAGGGCTGCAGGGCTCACCTCCGCTGTGCTGATGCTGTGCTGATGTGCCCGAGCTGGAAGGAGTAGAATAGTTCTGGGTTTGTGGCTCAGAGGGGCAGAGAAGACACGAGCACAACAGGCAGGTGTCAAGGCTGGGTAAAATCCAGTGCTGATAAATGCCCAACACCCACAGGGAAGCATCCTGAGCCACAGATGCCCCCCAACACCTGCAGGCACCCATGGCACACCAGGATCTGTCGCCTGCAACCGAGATGCTGGATGTGTCATGGCTTTGCTGAGTGCCCTGAGATAGGACTGGCTTTGCAAACAACCCTGCCAGCCCATGCCCACTGCATTTCTCATCGGCACTGTGGCTGCCTGCAAGGGTTGGCTCAAACCGTGGTCAGCACTGCCCCCATGCTAGAGCACCCCAGGACTGCTGCACAGCTCTGGGGAGACCTCTCCAGGAGAGATGCTGAACAAGAAGGCAGGAGGATGCATGCAGTGAGGCTGTGGGCTTAGTGGAATGTCTCGCTGCTGAGCCAACCACACTTGGGGGTGAGGGCAGAGTCCTGTAGTCCCTCTGCCACCCTCTTTCTTAACTCTCAGGTTCCTCTAAAGCAAGTAAAAGGCTGCACAGACCGAAGGACATGGTAGTAGTAGAGGGCTGGTGCAAAGGCACTCTGCTCAGAAAGGCTGCCAGGCAACTGAAAAAGCTGGAGAAATTCCAGGGAGGCACCGAGAAGGAAATATAGCAGCATTGCTGCAGAAGCAGAAGACGGACCCAAGAGAGGAAAATGTGAAAAGCAAACTACATGCAAGTCTGCAGCGAGGTGGGCTAAAACACAGAGCAGGTAGAAAAATTGCTAAAGGCACCGATGCTGTTAGCAAAGCTCTCCCACAGCATTCATGGCAGGAAAACCAGGGCAGCAGCGGGAGGTGGCATCCCCACCAGCCCACTCCTGCCTTTGGGCTCCTCAAAGCCCTGGCAAGGTGCAACGAGGCGGGTGCAGCATCATCTGGCGCTGTTCTGAGACTGGACAGCTTGAGGACCAAGTTTCAGATTCAGACCCTGGAGCTGAGTTTCCTGGAAATCATTTGTTTCAGCTGAGAGGGCTGAACTCATTACAGTGAGTGACAAAGTACAGCAAGGCAGGGCTTTAGGGCTGGGTTTGCAGGAAATCCCCTTTCCAGTAAATCACACACATTTCCCTAGGAAGAGTTTTGGGGCTTGATGTGCTGCAGCTAGCTGTGCTGTGCTGCGGATGTGGAGCAGAGGAGTGTGGTCACAGCCAGGACCCTTCACCTGCCTGTCTGAGGGCTTCCTCAGAGGTGGGGGGCTTTTTGGGGTGCAGAAGCATCCCTCAGCTTACCCTCCCATCATGCTCGCCAGGTACTAAGCAGAGAAGAGCTAGTGCTGACCTGTGCTTGGTGTCAGAGGATCACTTTGGGGATACACCATCCCATTTGGGTTGGAAAAGCTTTTTTCCCATTTTGGCTCTTTTGAGGCCAGCCTTCTCCTGGAGCAACGGGGTGAGAGTTTCACCCCCACACCCCACCACAGTGCTTTAGCCCAGCTTCCCCAGGACACATACACAGACTACACCGTGGATCCAAATGCACAGCAACAAAGTTGGATTTAAAGGAAAAAACTTTATTTTTTGGGGGAGTATCTTCACATAGAGCTGATAGCACCCCTCATGCTGGTAAACACTGAGTCTTCCAAGTCCCACTGAGATGAGAGGCTTCCCCCTTCTCCTTTCAGCCCAGCCGAGTGAAGACGTTGTGGCCAGTCCTGTGGGGAAGCAGAAGCCCATTGGTGCCCAGCCAGTGGAGAAACAGGGGTCTCAGCCAGCTGGGTGTCCAATGGCTCACCTGGTGGCTTTCCAGTCACTGGGCAGAGAGTCAACCTTCTCCCGCAGCAGCCAGGTGGACTGCAGGACCTCCTCCCCACCTTCTCCAGCAAAGCACTGGCCCGTGAAGACAGCTGTGGAGTCTGGGGGAGTAGTGGCTGTTAGCACCCCAGCGGGACCCCAGCCGCTTTTGGGCCAGTGGGTTTAATGCTCACGGAGCCCAAGGGGGTTGCCCCAGATGTTTGCAGGGAAATGCTCCACAGCAGAGATGCTGTCAATGCAAGTCTCGATGCTGCCTAGCCCAAACAGTGTTTCAGGAGGTGTCCTGCTGTCTGCAGACACCGTCCAGAGTGGGGAGAGATTAGAGAAGGACAGACTGGGGACAGGAGAGGGGACAGAGGGATTGGAGTGGGCACTGGGAGCCTAAGATCCCTTCCCCCATCCTACCACCCCACCAAGGCACGGCTGTCGCTGCAGCTACTGACCAGAAAACTTCCAGTTTACAGTGAAGCCAAAGGTACATTGCCCATCTTCATCCAAGTGCTGGGAGCCAATCAGGGGGGATGGCTCAATGGGTTTCTGGGCACTGGACACAGCAGTGTGGTACTCGCCAGAGAAGTTTCCCAGGTTGTCAACCTTAGACACAAGCATCTTGGAGCCCAAGTCATTCTTCCACCAGCCAGTCAGGTCACACTGCAGGGAGATGAGCAGACAAGTCCCCAGGGCTGCCTGCACACAGCCCCTGCCCCATGGGCTAAGCCCCCTGCCCATGCCCTCCTGACAGCCACAGAGTGCTGGCACTCACCTTGGTCTTCCTTGTGGGGTGTTTCTTCTCATAACTTGGCCACCACTTGGTGTTGTTTGCCTTTGCCTCCTTCGTACTGGCATTTTCCCCCTTGGGGATCTCGGCTGCTTGGCAGAGCAACTTGGAAAAGAGGGGGAAAACACAGGGGCAAGCTATGGGCAGCAGCACAGCAGGGTGCCTCCAGAGCCCAGAGAGAGCTCAGGCACTTGTTTTTTAAGAGACGTGATTTATAAAGTGGATGACGTCTCAGCCACCTCAGGAGGACCAAAAGCTGGGGTGGGCTGAGCGGGGGCCCCCTGCGCCAGGGGAGGGATTGTCATGTGCACCCCTCCCGGGGGACACGGAGAACCTCGGGGTGTTTCACCCCCCCCGGAGCACCTCCCTCACCGGGAGCTCCCTCGGTGTCCCCCCTCCTCAGGCAGGGAGTCCCCCTGCGGCTGGGGATACCCGTCGGGGGTGGATTTCTCACTCGTGCCCCTCCCCGCAACCTGGGACCCCCACGCGTGTCTCCCGTGCAACCTGCCCCCCGGAACCTGGGACCCCCACGCGTGTCCCCCGTGCAGCCTGCCCCCCGGCACCGAGTTTCCCACGCGTGTCTCCCCGGCAGGCTCTCTCACGCGTGTCCCCGCTCCCACCTGGCTCCCCGTCGCGGCCGCGGCCAGGGCCCCCCCGGCGGGCAGGGCGAGCACGGAGAGGAAGAAGCGGCTCATCGGGCTGCGGCGGCGAAACCGAATCCCGCCGCGACGCTGCGCCGGGCTCTTTATAGAGCGGCTCCCACTCGAGACTGCTTCCCGTAAATTCGCGGGTGGCGCCGGCAGGAAGGATGAATAGGGCGAAGGCTTAAGGACAGGCACAGGGGCGGGGAGGGGGATGGGGACAGGGATGGGGATGAGGACGGACAGGGGGATAGGGGTGGAGAAGGGGAACGAGATGGAGGGAGGGACAGGGATGGGCATGGAGCTGAGGACTTAGGACTGACTGGAGGTGCCCCCTGATATGGCCCAGCCTGGGGGTCCCTGGCCTGGGTGCCACTGTCCCCTAGCTGAGGGCTCTCTCTGGGCTTCAGGCCCACCCTGCAGGAACCCCTGCACCCCAAACTGCCCCTGCTCACTGAGGGGAGGGAGGGACAGAAGGAGAGGGAGTCAGGAGGGCACGGCAAGGCGAGGTCCACCCCAAGAGGCACAGGAAAAGCCCAGGGCAGTGCGGGCCAGAGCGTGGTCCTGGGCCATGAGCAGAGGGAGAGCAGTGAGTGTCAGGGCAGGATGCGGCCAGGTTGGGCTGTGGCTGCAGGGGAGCAGGAGAGCTGAGGAAGGCTCAAGGACGGGGACATGTGGGAAGCGGGCCGGGGTCGGGGGTGTTTGGAGCAGCTGCAGACTGTGGCTCAGGGGGTGGTGGCAGTGACACTAGTTTGATTAACTGTGTTCTCCTCTCCAAAGAGTCCCACGCAGCACTAGTAGCTCAGCACTAGTAGCTAAAGTAGCGGAAGCCCTTGGCTGCAAGAGCAACTCTCCATGCACCCGGGCCGGAGCAGTGTTTCAGGGCACCTGGCCCAGCCTGGGGGTCCCTGGCCTGGGTGCCACTCTCCCCTGGCTGAGGGCTCTCTCTGGGCTTCAGGCCCACCCTGCAGGAGCCCCTGCACCCCAAACTGCCCCTGCTCACTGCAGGGGAGGGAGGGACAGAAGGAGAGGGAGTCAGGAGGGCAGGGCAAGGCGAGGTCCACCCCAAGAGGCACAGGAAAAGCCCAGGGCAGTGCGGGCCAGAGCGTGGTCCTGGGCCATGAGCAGAGGGAGAGCAGTGAGTGTCAGGGCAGGATGCGGCCAGGTTGGGCTGTGGCTGCAGGGGAGCAGGAGAGCTGAGGAAGGCTCAAGGACGGGGACATGTGGGAAGCGGGCCGGGGTCGGGGGTGTTTGGAGCAGCTGCAGACTGTGGCTCAGGGGGTGGTGGCAGTGACACTATCAGTGCTGGCTTCCTGTAAACCCCATGGTTTTGCTTTCTGTCTCCGTTCCCTCGTTTACCGAGCAGGCTCCTCACATCATGCACTATCCTGTGGGCTGCCTTCTCAGGACACCTCAAGAAACAGGAACTTTGCTGACATAGGGGTGATAAAAAGACAAAAATACTTACTCTCTGGGGCTCCCTCACAGGTCTTGGTTGCCCTGCAACACTTGGTGGTCTCTCCCCACCAGGGCTCCCAGCCTCATCTCCCACTCCCAGTGGGGTCCCGAGGCTTCACCCTCCCAGACCAAATGGAGAGGCGTTTGGGAACCCCCTCGTGCTGCTGGTGCCAGCCACAGCGGGTGTTTGGGGAGGGGGAGCGTGAGAACAAGCCCAGGGTAGTCAGGGCAGCACCAAGGGTGCCAGTGTGCATGCATGTGACACTTTCCCAGGCACAGTGTGCTCGCTGTCCCAAAGACCCTGCCCCATCCCACAGCCTCTTCCCCCGGCAGCGCTGCAGCCCCCAGGCAGCACCCACTTCGAGCCTTTTGTTCCTGGGATGCTGTGCCAGCCCAGCACAATGTTTGTGGCCGAGGGGCTGCGTGCTCCCGCTGTGCCCTGCTGTGCCACCCCAGTGCAGTGTGTGTGGCCAAGGGGGCTGCCAGCTCTGGCTGTGCTGTTACTGGGGATGGTGTTAGTCCCCCACACCACAGAATCACAGAATCACCATGGTTGGAAGGTTGGAAGGATGTGAGATCATCGAGTCCAATCTCAAAAAAAACCCCCAAAAACCCACCAAAAACCAAAACAAAAACCACAACACCTCACCACATCACACCCACCCACAAAACAATAATCTTGGGCACTAGAGCATGCCCTGAAGAGCCATGTCTACATGTTTCTTAAATACCCCCAGGGATGGTGACTCCACCACCTCCCTGGGCAGGCTGTTCCAGTGCCTGACCACTCTCTCAGTAAAGTAATTCTTCCTAATATCTAATCTAAACCTCCCCTGCCACAACTTTAGACCATTTCCTCTGGTCCTGTCATTATTCCCTGGGTAGAAGAGGCCAACACCCACCTCTCTACACCTTCCTTTCAGGCAGTTGTAGAGGGCAATGAGGGACTGCATTTCCAGCTACTCCCTGGGTGCATATATGGGACAGGGCTGGATGCCAGCCCCCACAGAGGGGGACATGGTCATGAGCTGGGAGCCCAGGGTGTTGGTGTGGTCCAAAGTCCAAGCTCAGTGCTGGAGGGACCAGGGGAGGGCACACTGTAGGAGAAGATCAGGTTCAAGACCATCTAAGAAACCAGAAAGTGCGTTAAGTCCATGGGACCTGATGAAATCTATCCACGGGTCCTGAAGGATCTGGTGAATGAAGTTGCTAAGTCACTTTCTATTATATTTGAAAAGTCATGGCAGTGTGGCAGTGAAGTTCCCACTGTCTGGAAAAGGAGAAACATAACTTCTGTTTTCAAAAAGGAAAAAAGGAAGACTGGGGAACTGCAGGCCATTCAGTCTCACCTCTGTTCCTGGCAAGATCATGGAGCAGAACTTCCTGGAATCTCTGCTAAGTCATGTGGAAAATAAGGAGGTGATTGGTGACAGCCAGCACGACTTCACCAGGGGCAAGTCATGCCTGACAAACTTGGTAGACTCTTGGTAGAGCATTGGTAGATAAGAGGAGAGCAAGAGATGTCATCTGCCTGGACTTACACAAAGCGTTTCACACTGTCCCATGTGACATCCTGGTCTCTAAATTGGACAGGAATGAATTGGATGGATGGACTAGTCAGTAGATAAGGAACTGGCTGGCTGGTCACATTCAAAGAGTTACAGTCAATAGCTCAGTGTCCAAGTGGAAGCCAGTGATGAGTGGGGTTGGGTTCAGGGACCAGTGCTGTTTAACGTCTTTATTGGAGACATGGACAGTGGGATAGAGTGCACCCTCAGCAAGTTTCTGGATGACATCAAGCTGTGTGGCTCTGGTGGAGGGAAGGACATGCTGGAAGGAAGGGATGCCATCCAGAGGGACCTGAACAGGGTTGAGAGGTGGGCCCATGCAAACCTCATGAAGTTCAACGAAGCCACATGCAAGGTCCTGCACCTGGGTCATGGCAATCCCAATGACAAATACAGACTGGGCACAGAATGGATAGATAACAGTACTGAGGAGAGGACTTCGGGGTGCTGATAGATGAGAAACTCAACATGAGCCAGCAATGTGCCCTCACAGCCTGGAAAGCCAACCACATCCTGGGCTGCATCAAAAGCAACATGGCCAGCAGGTTGAGGGGGGCCATTCTGCCCCTCTACTCCCTTCTGGTAAGATCCCACCTGGAGTACTGAGTCTAACTCTGGAGTCCTCAGCACCAAAAGGACGTGGACCTGTTGGAATGGGACCTGAGAAGGGCCACAAATGATCCAAGGGCTGGAGAACCTCTACTATGAGGATAGGCTGAGGGAGTTGGGGTTTTTCATCCTGGAGAAGGCTCCAGAAAGATCTTCCAGTACTTAAAGGGCGCCTACAGGAGAGATGGGGAGGGAATCTTGATCAGGGAGTGTAGCGATAAGACATGGGGTAATCGTTTTAAACTGAAAGAAGGGAGATTTAGATTAGATAACAGGAATAAATTCTTGACTGTGAGGGTGCCCAGGGAAATTGTGGATGCCCCATCCCTGGAAGTGTTCAAGGCCAGGCTGGATGGGGCTTTGAGCAATCTGGTCTAGTGGGAGGTGTCCCTGCCCATGGCAGGGGGGTGGAACTCAATGATCTTTAAGGTCCCTTCCAACTCTAACCATTCTATGATTTTATGACCTGCGCCTCCAGGGGCAGTCACTGGGCAGAGTGGGTGGCTAAGGCCTGATACTGGAGGGATCCCTGCTGTGTATGTGTACATTTGTATGTATTTCCTGCTTCCTGGCTGTCACCCCATCAGCCAGAGGGTGGAACAGGAGAAGGCTCCTTTCAGATGCTCAAATGCACAGGACAATGTCGCCTGTACATTAAGCTTATCAGTTCTTTAAGCCAGAAAACAAACACAGAGGTGAAACAAGGGCCCAGGGCCCTTTGCACAGCCGTGTCTAACACGTGAACTCATTGATTCATCACCTCAGCAACTCATGACATTTCTAACTCGCAAATTCCTGAATCCGTAACACAACAGTTCCTAATGCAGGTGGTCCTGGGCATCTCAGGAAGAAGCCGTGGGGGCAGGGGAGGCACAAAGGGCTCCAAGAGGGGTGCTGCCTGGGGGCTGCAGGGCTGCCGGGGGAAGGGGCTGTGGGATGGGGCAGGGTCTTTGCGGCAGCGAGCACACAGCGCCCTGGGAAAAGGTCAGGGCTGTCCATCAGCCTCTTTCTCTTAGAGCATGCCCCTCTTTGCCCAGCCTTCCCCAGCTTCTGCTCCACTCTCTCCTTCCCTGCTGGGCGCTGGGGCTGCTTTCAGCCCCCACAGCTCCTGGAGAGTGCATGGACCAGAGCCTACGCAGGGTACACCTGCACCGGCCAAGCCACGCTGGCTGACATGCCTGATGCTTCAGCTTTCCATCAAAAGGCAGTTCTGCATCTTCAGAATCTTTTCAGCGATGCCCTCCAACAGGACAAGGTGCAATGGGCAAATCAGGAACACAGAAAATTCCATCTCAACATGAGGAAAAACACTTGACTTAGAGGATGCCAGAGGACTGGAACAGGCTGCCCAGAGAGAGAATGGAGTCGCCTCTGGGGTATTCAAAACCCACCTGGATGTGTTTCTGTCCAACCTGTTTTGGGTAAATTTGGCAGAGCGTTGGTGGGGGTCAGCGAAAGGCCGAAATGCAGTACTTGAGCAGAGTCCT